TTAAATACTCATCTACCCCCATAAAATACCCATCTACCCTATACTGTAGCCATAAAATACTCATCTACCATATACTGTAGCCATTAAATACTCATCTACCCCCATAAAATACCCATCTACCCTATACTGTAGCCATGAAATACTCATCTACCCTATACTGTAGCCATCAAATACTCATTTACCCCCATAAAATAACCATCTACCCTATAGCGTAGCCATTAAATACTCATTTACCCTAAACTGTAGCCACAGAATAACCACCTACCCTATAATATAGCCATAAAATACTCATCTACCCTATATTGTACCCAGACTTATATAGGCTAAGCCTGTTGTCTCCTCCAATTGTGCAATTATTTTGTCCAATAAAATTTGTTGAAATCTTGTACCCATAATATACTCATCTACCCTATACTGTAGCCATAGAATACTCATCTACCATATACTGTAGCCATTAAATACTCATCTACTTACTCCCATAAAATAACCATCTACCCTATAGCGTAGTCATAAAATACCTATCTACCCCCCATAAAATAACAATCTACCCTATACTGTAGCCTTAAAATACCTATCTACCCCCTATCAAAATAACCATCTACCCTATACTTTAGCCATTAAATACCTATCTACCCCCTATCAAATAACCATCTAGGTTATACTGCAGTCATAAAATACTCATCTACCCCCATAAAATAACCATCTAGGTTATACTGCAGTCATAAAATACTCATCTACCCCCATAAAATAACCATCTAGGTTATACTGCAGTCATAAAATACTCATCTACCCCCATAAAATAACCATCTAGGCTATACTGCAGTCATAAAATACTTTTCTATACCCACTTACTTGTTAATACCCATCTACTTGTCCATAAACATTTACCTCCAACAATACCTATATCCTATAATGTACCTATCTACTCTCTACTGTATTCATAAAATAGGATTTCATCTCATAAAACAACTGTTTACCAATATTGCTTGATTAAATAAACATTTGCACCACTTTAATTACTTGAGATTCCATGCACCACCACCTAAGCTGACTTAAGAAAGAAATTATTCCTAAAATGTAAAAGCAGTTTTTGCTGCCATACATTCATGGATATTATTATTAATTGAAAAATTAAATTTTTATATCTATAAACATAACAATTAATACTACTTTTCATTATATGTTTGGATTGCTGTGGAAAAAATAATTCATAAAAATTGAAATAATAGTTAAAGAAATTAGTTTTATGATATGTAAATGGCAGTTTTCTTTATTTTTTAAACCTGATGGACACTGTAATTATATAAATATATCCCTGTTTCAATGATTTGTCAGTATACCACTTATTGACAGCTGATCTTGACCACACCTGTATGTTGTCACCAGGCAACAGTAGCCCCCAGGGCCCAATCTCCCACAGGTGACACCCTGTGTATTATAATTACCTGGATAGACATACAGGAACCATGTATTACAGGTAACATGATGTAATAATGCTATACATTTTGTATTTATGTAAAAATTTTGATAAATTTTAGGGGGGATGAATATTTTATGGGGGGGATGAGTATTTAATGCATTAAATACTCATCCGGAAGTGAGTATTTTATGGGGGATGAACATTTTATATGACACTGGTGTGAATAGGCCAGAGTGAACTGAGTGATCAGGACTGACTATAATCTTATATATATATATATATATATATATATACTGTACAAGTAGATTTTGGATGATACATTAAGTGATGCAAACTTGTTAACTGGTGTTATTTTTTATCAATACATCTTAAAGAGGAGACATCTCTTACACAAAATGTGACGTTATACATATTTAGATTTATACACATGTTTGGTATTAAATATCAATCATGCACGTTACGTAGCTGCCTTTACACTTGTATGCAGGTGAATTTGCCAAAAACAAAAAAAAGTTAATGTGCCAAAGTTAACGTGTCTTCAGAAATTATGAATGCTGATATTTTTTTTATTGAAGAATGTCTCAACTTTACAGTTGCTTTGTGTATTTTACCCTCTGGAAAATGATCCTGAGACAGATAGAACTTCAAATTTGCATATTCTTATCAATTTTTCGACCAAAGGGGACTTTCGGTCCTCCAGCTGGTTCCCCTATGGCCACCTGGCCCCCACCCTGGACTCGCTCCTGAATTAAACCACTCAGAGTAAGGGCTAGCTACGCCCCTGTGAATGCGTTAATAAAATATTCAAAGCCATATGACTGTTTTTATTTCAGATGCCAAACAGATTGGTCCTCAGTCTATATATCAGGCCAGCGGGTGTTCAGGTCATTTTGATACAAGTAGCTCATTTAATCTAAGTTCTGATATAAACTTATGGACGGATTGGTCGAGTGGTTAACACTCTGGCCTTCCAAGCAGGCGGCCGGGGTTCGATCCCCGAAAGTCGCCGTATGCATGGAATATTAGAGAAAGTGTTTTTCTCCTGCCCACACAATTCCAACAACCCAGGTGGAGTATAAAATGGTCTGGGGTGGGTGTTGCGTTATCTGTGCTGTAGCATTCAAGTGAGGTGGCACTATAAATGATACCGTTGGAAGCACGGTCCCACTACAAACAGAACACAATACATCTCCAGCACACACACAGGCATACACACATACGGAGATATTAGCCAGGTGGCATAGGACTAGTAGTTAGCGCCTGATAAGGCAGCTCCTGCGAATTCCTCAATATTGAATTGAGTTATATATATATGCTTATTGTATTGACTGTATAAAATTGTATATCTATGTACTGTAAAGCGCTTTAGAGTGGCTTATGTTAGCTAGATAGGGCGCTATATCAAATGTTGTATATTNGTTAGCGCCTGATAAGGCAGCTCCTGCGAATTCCTCAATATTGAATTGAGTTATATATATATGCTTATTGTATTGACTGTATAAAATTGTATATCTATGTACTGTAAAGCGCTTTAGAGTGGCTTATGTTAGCTAGATAGGGTGCTATATCAAATGTTGTATATTATTATTATTATTATTATAAAAAGACAGTCATCTACAATTTTTTGTCCTTACATATGAATTACAAAAAATTATTTGTATAAATCAGCTTGAAACAGACTACCCTGGTATCTTTATCAAAGCAATTATAAGATAGCTATATATAGAATGATATTGGTTACATTATTATGGTGCTTGTAAACTCAAATAAACAATGAAATAGGAAATTAATCATACCGAACATGGCAAACTGCATCTCATCAGGAAAAGGAGGCACTGTGGGGTTTTTGTTTACAGCATGGGTAGGGGAGACAACCAACTTTGTACTTCGACCTGTGAAAAAAAGAGTCCACCAAGGTTTTGTTTTCTATCCCAACTTAATTTTTTAGTCACGATATAAGCACAATAAAATTCACATAAATATTTTTTTGGGGAAAAAAATTATCTACCTTTACTCCCTACTTTTTTTTTTTACACACATCTAATCCCAGAAAAACAAAACAGTTTTTATTTCACCTCATAATCAAGACTTTCATCATTTCATTGCAGACTTCTTTCATGCTCATTTCTAATTATCATTATTAGCTAAAATATGAAAAAATCAGTTGTATGAAAACTTCAAACACAGTATATATCTTCGTTTGTTTATATATGTTATTACAGTTAAGTTTTGTTCTTTCTAACGGTCAATGTTATACTGACCCTTCATGGCCTCGTCTGGTTCAGGTATGTTCATTTTACTTGACATCTCCCCCATCAGAAAAATACCAGCCACAGGATGTCTCAGGAAATTAGCAAGTATCAGCAAATGACCAGCGGAATAGGAACGGAATAACCTAAAATTTATCAAGACAAACATCCTAAAAATGATTGAAACATGTGTAATAGTAAAACATACTTCAAAGAGGCCAAAGGGATTTGAATCACTTCACTAGGCTATTTAAATTTAGTATTTTGGAAAAGAAGCTTTTATCTAAGGTTTTAATCTCCCCAGTAGTTTGGAGGGAAGCTTTTTCAATTTGTTTGAAATCTGTTTGAAATCTGCTGAGTAGTTTCAGACAGGTTAGTAAGAAGCAAAAAAAAAAAAAATCTCTTTCAACTCACCATGAGCCCTCAGGAGCAACAGCTCCTTCATTTGATAAATTCAGAATTCCATGAGTTGGTACTGGTACCAACTCAGTGTGGTTGAAACCAGCTCAGAAGTTGGATAAGAGATGTTTTAAAGCAAATCAGCCAATTTGACCCCTTTAGGAACCCATCCCCCTGCTCCAAAAATGATGAGTCCTTTTCTTTACATAAATTTCTATTCCCATGGGATAAAGGGTGCTACCACCACAATTTACTTGAAACCTGACCAATAGTTTGAAAAAAGATTCAAGATTTTTTTATTTTTTTTATCTCGCCAGGCTATGAATTCCACTACCAAACTTTAGATAGTTTGGGGGTGGGGGGTCAGCCCCCAGGTTATGTTTTATCTTCATGAAATAATTAAGGATGCTCTGTACTGTCACAATTAATTGAAACTTATATCACCCAGTATTGTTTTTTCTCTTCTTTTAATTTAGCAGACATCAGAGAAAATATGCTATATGTATACAACCATCATGCCCCAATACCCCATGTTCAGTAAATAGACATGAATGACTGCATAACCAAAAATGTTCAACAGTTTATGGAAATATCAAAACTGCTGTTCAGTACTCATGGACCAGTTAAGGGTGGTAACGTTAACTCGCTTGACTGAGCACTAGACCTATATGGAGTAACAAATCATTGTGTCAGCTTTTACTGTACAGACATTAAATGTCCCAAAAACATTTGGTAATTGGATTTTGTTACCAGTATATCTTTATGGGACTGCTTTTGAATAACCCTATCTTGTTATTGCTGGCTGCAAAAAAAACCACCACTAAGTGCAATATTAATTTTTGCTTGATAAGGATAAATTATGTAACCACTACATTACCTGTATCAATGTACATATCTTCAGTTTGCTGTGACAACGTAGCTTCTATAATAATGAGATGATTTATATATCCTTTTGTCATTGGTTTCGGTGAAGAAACCACAATTTTTTACTCAATAGGTAGATAACTGTTGAAATAACTGACAACTTTAATAGACACATGTACAATTTACTAACAGAAACAAAATACTAGCAACATAAAAGTGTTAAAAGAACTGACAACTTTAATAGACACATGCACAATTTACTAACAGAAATAAAAAACTAGCAACATAAAAGTGCATGTGTAATTTTAGAAAAATACAAACATTTTTCATCAAATTTCACCAGGCAAAAGTAGCTTTCATATGTTCCTCATCACAAATTTGATTCAGTGCTTTTTTACTGATTTTTCAGTATGTCAATTTAAACTAATTAAGATAATCTAATAAATTTATTTATTTCATTTTATATATTTAATCAAATAGAATTAATTACTGGGGGGTATTCATTTTTTTGTAAAGTTATATTGGTTTTGTCTGATGGTTAATTATTCATCATTTTTTCCCCATTTAAAACTGATGAAAATAATAAGTTTACAACAAAACAAGATTACATTTGACAGACAGCAGTAAAGAGATGGTACAGGAATGAAATGTATCACTAGTTTTTTTCTGGTATGGGTTCATTTTGTGCAAGACAATCTTTTATGGGTGTCTCTTAATGAATTCTAAATTGTAAGGTTTTCTACGCAAACTTTCAGTAATTTTTTTCCAGTTTTCAGATAATGGCCAAGCATCTAAAATCTCTTGTGTACAGTAGTGTCAAACAGGCCACGTAGGATCTCTCGACTTCTCTGTTTTGTAATGTTATTTTTTGCTTCGCATTATAAATAAGTGCAGTCAGTTTGAAAGTGAGAAAAACAGTCTGGACTAGCGTATACAATAAATTGTTCTTCGATTCTACTCACAATGTGGTTTTATATACTTCCAAATAAAAGGTTATGTTTTTAGTAGTCTATATTACACATTTGTTAAAGATGTGCATTAGTTAGGTGTAGGGAATTTCCCTTTAGCTCATGATCAGCGGTAGAGCAGCGGGATTCAGTGCCAAGGGTTCGAGCCCCAGCGACTGCACTATCTTTATCACTATTCCTTGTCCTATTACAAACTGGTGCCGTTGACCCTCCCTGTTCAAGGTTAGGAGAACCCTTGGCGGGGAGTCAAAGAACCTGGGTTGGTAATTGAAAAAGGGGGGAAATAGTGTAAAAGATGTGCGTTGATTAGGCTGTCTTACAAGTGTCAGCCATAGGGAATTTCCCTTTAACTCAGCGGTAGAGCATCGGGCTGGGGGTGCTGGAGAGCCTAGGGTCGAGGGTCGAGGGTTCGAGCCACAGCGATGGCACTATCTTTATCACTATTCTTCGCATTTTTACACATTGTCAAAATTAACCGATTGATATTGATATCCAAATTATCAATATGGCCTAGAGTAGAGGTTCTGGAATGTGATGAAAGCACTACAGACTGGGAATAAAAGCAAGATTTGAAGATAAAAAATCCATGTCATGTGACTTAGCGAGAACTGAACGCATAAATCCGCCTATGACTATGTGAGTGCTTTCATGAATGACTATATATGTGAGTGCTTTCATGAGAATATTGGTCAGGCATTGACCTACATTTGTACGTAGACAGATAAGAAGTGGAACAGGTGAAGATCCATATATTAACGCCTGGAATACAAACGTGTTACTTACAACTGTGTCATTGACGATCTTGGCAAAATCTTATAAAGCATGAACGCAGAAAATTCACATAGAAATCTAGTTTCTTTATCACTTACATAACGGAAGAATACCGGAAATCACAGTGACTTAGTAATTATAGAGACACGTCGATCCGGATATTGATCACTACCATGTATAAGCGCTGTACAGGTCTAGAGAGTAAGTAAATCTATAATGACGTCACAGTCTTACACGAACTTATCTGTGAAAGTTAGGTGTGTTTATAAATATACATATTCGTGCACATGTGTCAGATCAAGGTGGTCAAACAATGCTTTTCCCCCGAACTCGTTTTGTTAAACGGCTCAACAAACGAATTATAAATACGGACATATTTTCAAAATTACATTTTAGTAATAAGTAAAGATACATGTATGTGTTAAAACATCACTTGCCCCAGAGACATATATATTGTAAAATATACGTTTCTGCTTGCCCCTAATTAGCTCTTCCGTATTTAGCTACACAGTGGCGGATCCAGAGATTTTTTTGGGCTTCAGGACCCCCCCCCCCCCCCCCAGCCTGATTTTTTTTTAAAATCATGTATTTTCACCATTTTCCTCAATTTTCACCCACATGGAAATTTAACGCACCCCCCTGGAAATTTGTCTTTATATTTGAATTTCAAATACTATCCGATAATATTTTAAAAAGGACAGGAACACAGTAATTGTTAGATATGAAGATATTTGATATTTTATTAAAATAAGTCTAAAATAACTGACTTGACTAAGAAGAAGTCGTCAGCTATTTCGGATTGTAATTTTCGATATTCAAAATTTTGAATGAATACATTTTCGACGCACTAGCTGGTATATGCAGATATTTGAAGTCGACGTTTTAGGAGAAAAAATCACATGGCCATAATGCACGTCAATATACCATCCACATTAATATTACAAAGATAAAAAATATATTAAAATAAAATGTATAAAAGGTTCAAACTGATGAAATATTTTAAAGAAAACGGAAGAAATGTTCCAACCTGTTTAATTAGCGCCAACTGACACGGTTGAAGGTTAGTTCCAGTTTTTATAACCTTTTACCGGGTTTAAAAAAAAATAAAAATAGCGCATGATATTTAAAAGATATGAATGAGTTTGCTGAGTGTTTCGTGTTTCTGTAAGTTCCTTTCTGATAATGTCATGGGGAAATGTACTGAAAATAACAATTTTAAGCTGCGAGGTGTTGCTTAGGAAAAATAGGTATAACATTTTGTTAGGCATTGGTGTTTTCAATTGAACACATGAAAAACAAGATACAAAAAACCCGGATCTCGCAATGAAATTTACTTTGACTGAAATATGGTACATTGCGTAATACGTACGTCGCATTAATGATGACTGTGTTTTTCCCCAGAGATATGAGTCAACGATGGCCATCTATAAACATAGCTATAAAAAGCGCAAATTTCTGTAGATTGTTGTCAAGAATTGCATTCTAACAACACGGACAACACTGAGGGAATATATTTGGCATCAATCATTTTTTTACGTGAGAGTTTTTCCTAGTGTGTTTAGGAAAGCCGGTAAGATACAGATGCGAGATATAGAAAAAAAAACACGAACATTAATGTAATTTTGAAAAGGAAGACCCAGATTAATGTAAACTACGTAAAATCAGCACTTACAAAAAAAAAATGCACAACCTGCCGACCGAAGGACATAGTTTTATAGTATATTGGTAGGTCCGTGGTTGTTTCTAAAAAATCTAAATGTGAATAAATGTTATCCGGACTCCAGTTTGAACGTCGCAAAAGTTTAAACTAAGGGGGTAATCGCTGAAATAGCGCAAAGAGATTGAGACCCGGTGTTCCGGAAGGGTAAGCGTCTTTTGCTACATTGACAGGTAACGTATAACTTGGACAGTGACAACGAAACAAAAAACACACTAAAAAGCATAATGAACAAATCGATCTTTGAAACGCAAATATGATACTTTCGAATCTGATAATGTTAGCGACCAAATAACTTGCCCATAGTCTTCATCCTCAACCTGTTTCTCTTAAAGCTTTGTATTGTAAGTCTGTCAGGAGTTAAACATCGTGATAGAAGGAGCAAGACATTAAATACCATACAGAAAACTTGCCCATAATCGTCTTCAACCTGTATCTCTCGACCGTCAGCAGTCGAAATTCGTGATAAAAGAGCAAGCTCTTCAATACCAAATTCACTGGAATATATATGCACCGGAGTTGGGGCAGGTGTGTTGCTATCAAGAAAGGGAATGTTCACGATTGGAACTTCGGAATCATCACACTACAGCTTAGCGTAACATCTCCTATATAACCCCTATCTGTTGTGAGTACTTCAGTCGAAACAGGTTGTAAACAAATATGATGTGTCATTAATTTCGAATTAAGGGGTGGTATACGATAGACATTGTCAACATAATAGTGTCGATTTATCTTAAGTAAAATGAGAGGACACAGACAGTCTCTTTTACAACTCCCGATAAGCTCTGCAATAAATCAGGGTCAAGGAATACCGACTTGTGTTTGGTTTTCATATTGGATTTCAAGCTGTTTATTTTTTGTTGAATCGCTTATATAAGAAGACCTAAAAATGAATCAAATTAAGTATGCTCTTGTTTTGCTCGTGGTTTGACTTATAATTCCACAGAATCGCATCAGTATCTAGACATTCACGTTCCATTTGACAATATGATTCGAGACTTTAGACCCTAGCCCCCAGTAGTTTTACATTTTAATGATAATATTTAGACCGCTAGATACTACGTGTCCGACTGGACCATATTTAGTTAAGATGTGCTTTGATGATTGTTCATATATAGATACAAAAATACATTTCTCGGTAAATTAAACAACACGGATTTATCTTTGATAGACGAAGCGATAATATACATGCATCAGCACACTCATTAGCATTTCAAAAGGTTATTGCAGTGCATTTGTACTGTAATAAATCATTTAAAAAAGGAGCTGATCTGGGGGGGGGGGGGGGGGGGGTTCGGGTAAATATGCGTCGATCCGGGTTGGGTGTCTCTTCCGGGTTGTTTATATCATGATAAGAGTGGTGATAAGCCGCCGATGTGTAAGTTATTATGAAAAAAGAACTTGGGTAATTATGCTTGTCACTAACAAAGGGCCAACCGATAAAACGTATATCTATGTGCGTTCTAAAAATGAACTCGAAAACGGACTTCAGGTATCATCACGGTGCAATAATGATCAAGATGGTGACTCTAACCTATGGTTACATCATATGGAATATAATGCGTTCCAATGACGGGCCTAAATCTATGTCTGTAAACTCCGATTAAACAAAAGTTCTCTGACGTGATCGAATATTTATGTAGTTACATGTCTTATAACTGAAGCTCCTGTCTCTTTGTAGTAAGATTGATGCTATTAATTTATATCTATATATGTAAAAGTCATACAACACCCAATCAGCTACACAACGATTTGCTAAATGATAAAAAAAACAACATCGTTTTCTAGAAACTAATAAATGTAATTTTTATTGATTATTATGTACAAAATCGTGAAACTTTTGTAATAAATAGCTATAATTCTGATTTCATTTTGTCTCCAAGGCCACGCGGACATGAAACCCCCGTGCCCCCGAGCCCGCAGTAACCCTCGGGGTTCTTGTGAAGATATTGCTGGTGATAATCCTCCGCGTAGTAAAACTCGGACACAGATAGAATTTCTGTAGAAATTTTCTCGTAGCCATTGTTCCTCAGTTTTTCTCCGTATGCTTCCTTGGTTTGTATGGCCTCTTGGCGTTGCTTACGGTCGTAATAATAAATACCAGAGCGGTATTGGGTCCCGAGACTCCTACCCTGGCGCATCCCCTGGGTGGGGTTGTGTCCCTCCCAAAATACCTATATGAAGGAAAGATTGAGTGCTTTAAAATCATGCACGTAAACGATGACCGACCTATTAAGACATCGCAATCAAAATATAAAATTAAAACCGACGATGAGATCGGAATCGCCCTAAACGTGTGTTTCATTTTGTATACTTATGGTTTATACACAGAATTTAAAAAAAACATTAATATTCCTAATAATCTGTCTGAATCGATACAATAACCGGTTACGATAATATGGGAAATTTGTTTCAAACTGAAAGTAATATTGAACCCAGCAAACAAAAGTCGATTGAGCTTGTCTAGTTTGATTGAATACTGATGTCATTTACAAGTAGGTTTATACAATTTACCTGTAATTTACCAGTGTACTTTCTAGGGTTTTACCTGTAGAAGGTCAGCGTAACTGATCTGGTCTGGGTTATACACCACTCTGACCACCTCGTTATGTCCAGTTCCACCGGTACACACTTCCTCGTAAGTCGGGTTCGGAGTATAACCATTAGCGTACCCTACCTAGAACAGCAGCAAGTATATTTATATAAACGGCCTTACATAAAATACATGGCAAGTAGTTAAGTCAATAACGTTTAGTTTGCACATTTTTCTTTTTTTCTTTTTGTGTCTGATCTATGTTACTTCATTTTGTTGCATATTTGAAGCGACTTTGAGTTGGAATTTTACTCCTTACGTGTCAACGTTCATTATCCGCGTGCATTGCGAATATACACTATGCTCAATTATATGCTATCAATGCAACTATCGCAAACGAGAAAAAAAAACACCCCATCAACTATGAAAGCTTTTACATGTTTGTTTCAATTGACTGTACCTGTGTTGAGAACACCCCAGGGAGTTTCCAGAATCTTCTCTCCGCACCCCAAAAACAGCCCATACCTGATTTGAAATTGAGATAGATACCATGTAAATGATATAACGATGGACGAGGCAATGCTGAGCATTACACATTCGAGTCAGTGCCAGTGTCCTATGTTTTTGTTTTTGACGAATACAAATACAAGAGCAGTGTAAATCGAATGCTGCCAATAGAAACATCTAAATGTTATTCGAAAAGCAAAAGCAGATATTGTTCAGTTGATAATTTACTGAAAATTCACATGATTGTTGAGTTTTCAAATTGACTATTTCAAATTTGAAATGATCGATTTCTGAGTTTGTCCTTATTTGTTGATGTTATGGAAGACCGACGCAAGTACACATCGATAGGTATATGCCGTACCAAACATAGCAAGCTGCATCCCACC